TTCTTGTTGTCCCAGGTAGACTATGGAAATGGTTTGGTGTCTGCATCCACATGTCAACCTGGATGCTGTTTTCGCTGGACCATAAAAAATCTAATAGGCAAAAAAAAAAAATCTAATAGGCTTTATTCCCTCTTCTGAAGCTTCAAGCTACGGGAAAGAATGGGCACAATTCTGCCATGTATAAGGTCTATGTGAAATATTAGTCGGTTTTCTGGTGTGTAGTCCAGTGAATTACTCAGTATGGCCCTTTCAGTCAGTCTTTCTAACTCTCCCCAAATAATGAGATGGAGTTATGTAAATGAGTTGCTTATAAACCACCAGCATGCTGGGCAGCTTGCAAATAATGTAAATAAGGAGCATGGCACCCTTGTGAGGAGAAACTATACAAACAAGGTATACAGAACCCTAACTATGGGATTGGTCAGTAGTGCCATCCCACTAGGCTTACGCTGAGCCATCCCAAGACAGAACGGGGGTGTCTCACGGCCACCAAGATGAGGCAGAAGTGGAGCATGTTCTCTGGCCCCGAGATTCCTGTGGTGAGAACTTCCTAAATCTAAGAGTCAAAAAGAAAGAATTGTAACACAGAGTACAGTGTGAGAGATGACAGGGTGGGATGGCAGGAACCAGGAGACTAAAGTGAGACGGTTACAGTGAGGGGGGGCAACGCAAAGAGCTGAGAGTTATAACCCTTCCTGACAGGGCCCTGAGCAGGATCCAGGGGCAGGGGTGAAAAGCTACCGGAACCAGGAACTGTATCCTGTGGTTCCTCTTACGTCAAAGTTGATTCTGAGCTCCAATTGTAATCTGTGACTTCCCTTATTAATAAGCCCTATAATCCCTAGCACTGTCTGAGGCGTAAGTGATCACTGCAAAAAATTATCAAGCCCAGGAGAGAGGTAAAGAGTACTGCACATGGGGTAGTCTGTGTCAAAATAGTGAAAAAGAAGAAAAAGAAATTGGGGACGTAAAAGCATGTCTAACTTCCTCTTCTTAGGTATCTGTTGATTTGATCCTCCTCCTCCATTGCGAAATTGGAAGAGGTCAGATACCTTTGCCACGCCATTTTTACAGGTTATCTGGGGAGCAATTCTTAGCGTTTGAAGTAGGAAAATTCACTAGATTTGAATGAAGGTTTGAATTTGATATGAAGGGACTGCATTACCAGACATGTCTCAAACGGAACCTCCAGCAAGGAAGCACTTTTCAATAGCTGTGCACCCTGGTGGGAGCCCTGCTGGGGCAGTGATCACACGTGGCCTGCGAATTGTTAGGTCAGCAGTTCGAAACCACCAGCCACTACTCAGAACAAAGAGGTGTATGTACCCTGTCCTATAGGATTGCTGTGAGTCAGCATGTACTTGATAACAGTGAGGGGGTTTTGTTTATGATCTCTGGTGACACGATGCTTAAGTACTCAGCTGCTAACTAAAAGATGGGTGATTCAAACTCACCGCCACTTGACTGAAGAAAGATGTAGAAGCCTCTTAGAGACTTACAACTTTGGAAATGCTACCGGGAAGTACAACTCTGTCCTACAGGGTAGCTAGAAGTTAAAACTGATTCAGTGACAGTAGATCTTTTAGAATTAGAATAGCTATCTCTAGCAAAGGAAAAGGAAAAATAAAAGGTTTTTCCAGATGTTGAGATTACAAATGGCGGTTAATGAGCTCAACAATATTTAAGGATTGACATGCACTTTAATGTAAGAAGATTTATTTTCATCACAAAGTAATTTTCAGCAACAGATTCCTAGGTACAGTCATCCCGTGGTGGCTTGCATGTTGTGAAGATTCCTGAAGGAGACATGCATTGCCAAAAGAAAAACAGACAATCTTGGAAGAAGTCCAGCCAAAGTGCTCCTTAGAGGCAAGGATGGCAAGGCGTCACCTCAGGTACTGCGGCTTTGTTAGGAGGAGAGACCAGGCTCTGGAAAAGGACATCGTGCTTGGTGAAACAGAAGGGAACTGAAGGCAGGGAAGACCCTGGATAAAATGGATGGACTCAGGGGCTGCAGCAACGATTGTGAGGATCGGCAAGACCCGCAGTGTCTCATTCCTAGTGGCTCACAGGGTCACCAAGGTTGGAAATGAGCCCGTGGCACCTAACAGCAAGTTACAACTCCTATTTCTTGATCCGTCCTCATCTGTCTTAAAAACTCTGCAACCATGAATATATTCCTCACTCTAATCTTAATTTGTGTATAGCCAGCAATGCTAAACAAGTCCTACCCGATGAAGCACTGAAGAACAAAGAGCAACCACTTAAAGCAGGGGAATAATTAAGACGAATAGCTTATTCCTTCAAGTAAAAACAAACCTGAATTGGAATTCAGATAACGCCATGTAATCGGTACTTGTCAATGGACAAGGTGGGTAATTTTGAGACTATTACGTTTGAAAACACCGAAAGTACTCCCTACCTCACAGTGTTAGTTTGTGAATAAAAAGAGGTACTACCCTGTGTCCCCGAAAGTAAGACATCCCCCGAAAATAAGATCAACTTAGTTTTGCCTCTCGCTGAAATATAAGGTATCCCCCCGAAAATAAGCTCCCCCCCCCACCCCCGACCAAGCTACCGTAACTCTGGTCCAGAGACCTTGGCGGCGGGCGCCGCAGCGCAGCTAGAGCAGACAGGAAGTGTGAGGTCTCTTTTAATAAAACAATAAACAGGTAACAAATGTACAAATGTGCTTTATACAATTGATGTATGTGTGGATTGTGATGAGTTGTATGCGCCCCCAATAAAAAATAAATTAAAAAAATAAAAAATAAAACAATAAACAATAAATGTGTACCGTATTCTTCTTCATGGAAAAATAAGACATCCCCTGAAAATAAGACCCAGCGCATCTTTGGAAGCTTTTAATATAAGATACTGTCTTATTTTGGGGGAAACAGGATATATTCAAAGTATTTCATACACTACAGAGTATTTAGTTTTCCCTTCTGAAATAGCAAAATAAATGGTAAATTTATACAGGCCGAGAGACTGAAGCTTAGTGAACAGCTCAATGTGGTACGTGCATGTGAGTGTGTGTGTGTCTGTGTGCACCCGCCTGTGTGTCTATGTATAGGGGGGACAGGTCTCAGGGAGGAAACGGGTCAGTCAGGATGCAGTATAGAACCGATGAAACATACGACTTTCCTAATGCTTCCCCCACCCCCCAACTATCATGACCCCAATTCTACCTTACAAATCTGACTAGACCAGAGCATGTACACGGGTACAGATAAGAGCTGGAAACACAGGGAATCCAGGACAGATAACCCCCTCAGAGTAGCCATACCGGGAGGGGACGAGGAAGGCGGGGGAGAGAAGGGGAACTGATCACAATGATCTACCTATCACCCCCTCCCTGGGGGGATGGATAACAGAAAAGAAGGTGAAGGGAGATATTGGTCAGTGTAAGACCTGAAAAAATAATAATTTAAAAATTATCAAGAGTTCATGAGGGAGGGAGGGTGGGTGAAGGTGGATAAAAAATGAGGAGCTGATACCAAGGGCTCAAGTAGAAAGAAAATGTTTTGAAAATGATGATGGCAACAAATGTACAAATGTGCTTGACACAATGGGTGGATTTATGAACCCCCCAATAAAATGATTAAAAAGAAAATGTATAGGAGGGAAGCAGGGGACAGATGAAAGCAGACGAAGCCAAAGAATCTGGCTGAGGTGGAATTGTAAAAACAAAAAGAACGAAAAGAAAGCAAAGAATAGTTCAGGGGGTCATGATAAAGGGGTGAAAGAGATAGCCTGCTGTTACAACATACCAGAAATATAACATAATTTACCATCAAGTTTGTTAAAAATATAAATTTGAACAGCCCCTTCCTTTACAGTAAGATTTTCTTTTAAGCTCAATCAGCAAGGATGTTCCAACTCAGGAATGAGGCCAGCATTAAGATAAGTAGCCAGGAACAACCATTCCCCATTGAGAGGCTTAGGGGAGGGAAATGTAGGTATAGATCATTTTTCTAATGATCATTGCAAAACCTACCTTCTTAGAGTGCCAACAGTAACCTGTGATCACTGTAAAAACCTGCAATCTCTTCCTTGGATCATTGTAAAAACCTGCTTCCGTCACATAGTTCAATATATATCACTTGCCTGATTTCCGCTGGATTTTTTGTGTTTGAAGGTAGCAAACCCACTGTTTGCTTCTGTCTTGAGTCTCAGATAAACTAAGTTTCTCAAATCAACTGGATCTCTATCTTTGGCTGAAATAATGACAGGTATTCCCGGACCTTGTTTCCCTGACAAGACATCAAGCAAGTTATATACCTTAAACTATGTGACAGACTCAGGTTTTCACAATGATCACAGGAAGTGATTAGCAAGCTTTTGACAGTGATCAGAGGATAGAACTGTTACGCTACGTCAGCGGTTCTCAACCTGTGGGTCGAGACCCCTTTGGAGGTCAATCGACCCTTTCACCGGGGTCGCTGGATGCACAACAGTGGCAAAATTACAGCGATGAAGTAACAACGAAAATAATTTTATGGTTGGGAGGTCACCACACACGGCATTAGGAAGGTTGAGAATCACTGCTTGAGGTTTTGCCATGATCATTAGGAAATTACCTATACCTACATTTCCCCCCTTGAGCTTCTGAATGGGGAATGCTTGTGCCTGGTTCCTTATCTTAACGGAACATCCAGGGGCCACTCGGCCACCATCCCTGAAGCTCCGTGAGCAGCTGTTTCTCCAGATTGGGGCATGCCTCCGTGCCTGGCCTTCCCAGACCTCCCCCGTGAGGCTTATGAGTGGGGGAGCTTGTGGCCGGCCGCACCCTAGTGGCTTTGCCAGCCTCCTCCCTGAGCGGGGACGTCCCTGCTGATGAGCCTGGATGGCATTTTTCCCGCGAGAGGACGGGCGGTTACGTGCAGGCTCCTTGCCCTGCGCGTCCTCGAGGACGCACTTTTCACGAACTCCCGGGAGAAACTGAGGCCACAGCTGGCGATCCACACTCCAATTTGGCAAAGCGTGACCGTTTTTACCTGCTCCGCCGCCCAGAGACGAGAGCTCCCCACCTGCTCGGAGCCCGCGGTCCGTGGGGGCACCAGCCTTTGTGGAGCCCGGGCAAGGGGGCGCGCAAACGGGGGGCCCTAAACGGGATCGCACACTTCCGCTTCCGGTGTCGGGCCGCGCGGTGCCCCATCGAGGAGGCCCGTGCTCCAGCAAGTGGTTTTCGGGGGCCGCGGAATTGGTTCCGCTCATCACGCCCTTGTGCAACGGGGACGCGCCCCTCGACGGCTCCGTCCTCACCACGGTCCACGCAGGAGCCCGTCGATGCAGCCGCGTCGTCCGTCTGTCCGCCCGCGGGTCGTCTTGCTTTCCGCCGACCCTCGACTTCACCGAGCCGGACGCTCTGCGGGAAGGTCCCTCCAGACACGCGCGCGCACAGCCCGAGAGACGAGCCTCCGGCGCCGCAGGAGCCCCGGAGCCCCTGACGCGCGGCCTGCAGCTTCTGCGAGACCCACCGCTCGGCCCACCTGTCCAATGTTGAAAGCAAGTTGAATAAACAAAACGGACAGAGACCGAGTACAGCTTTAAGAGGTTTATTGGGTTCAAACGCAGACTCATCGAGTACCCAGTGTGGATCCCATCTTCGATCTGGGACAAGCTTTTGACATAACACACAGGTGCCCCCCCCCCCCCCCAAAAGGCAAACTTTGCATTATCTTTAGTTTGCCCGTTGTTTCCTAAAGCTGATTGTACCAGCATGTGGTTTTTCTAAACGCTACAGTGTACAAAAGCTGGATATTTTGCAATAAGACTGACATTTGCACAAGCTTGGGCACATCCTGTCCTCTACTATTCTTATTTCAGATCCACACTCAATTTAACTTCCTTATCACAGGAGCGCAACCCAAACTCTAAACCACGCTACCTCCAAGGTTCCAAGTTAAAGTAGAGAGGCAGCAAAATCGAGGAAGGCCCTCAAGGTGATTGATTGACACCATGGCTCCAACAGTGGACTCAAGCATGGTGTGGTAGTTACATAAGGGGCGGAGGTTAGCCTGTTAATCAGGTCATAGCCAGTGAGGCCTCTGTGTGGGCGTGGCCTTCTCCTGAGGATTCAGGGAACTCCCAATATTTCCTCCTTGGAGGCGAGAGACACTGTCTCAACTCACTCCTTAGAGACTCTACTGATAAGGCTGACTTCCTGTGAGTCATCCCTGAGGAAAAGCCAAGTGGCCCTACCCTGATGCAGCCCTGGGAGCTGGAGAAGCCACGTGGAGAACCCCCCCCTACCCCCACCCCCGCCAGCACTGAGATGCTTATAACACCACTGGATCTACAAGACTTCCCACCCATTGACCTGTGATCTTCCCGCATTTGGCATCATTGCATGTACTTTGTGAGTCTGAAGAGGACTTCATAGATTGGTACCAGACATGTGGCCTAATATAGGACTTAGGGACTTGATCTGGATTGGGCTGGGATGTTTTCTTAATATTCAACTGCTCTTGTATATAACGCTCTTTATTATACACATATGAGTCTCCCTAGATTTGTTTCTCTGGTCACCCTGACTAATGCACAAGGGCACAATAGTGAGGATGGTGCAGGGCTGGGAATTGCTTTGTTCTGGTGTACAGAGGGTCGCTATGGGTCAGAACCACTCGATGGCACCTAACAACAACAGTCTGACTGCTGGGAAGGCAAGGTTATAGAGAGTAATGGTAGGGAATCTTGGAATATTTGGGTGGGTCACATCACTTTTGGCAACCTCCGAATCTCCCTTCCCCCTCCCAACCCGACCCTGACATCCATCAGTCTGTCACACTATGGTAGCTGGTGTGTTGCTGTGAGGTTAGAAGAAGCGCTGCCCTCTGTCTTTTAAACACCAGCAGGGTCCCCCAAGGTGCGCAGGTTTCAGTGGAGCATCCAATCTTAAGTGAGACTAGGAAGAAAGGCCTGGTGATATCTTTCCCAAAGTCGGCCTATCTCAAGCTCCTGCTGAAACCCCTAGATTCAAGATGGCAGCCTAACCTTGATCATCCTTGAGCTGGCTAGACCTATTCTCTGGACTCTCCAGGGAAACAATCACTGTCCTTATCAGTAGGGTGTGAGCCCCACCTATGATGGTCCAGACAGTAGTCTGATTGCTCTGGGTGGTTGGTGCTTTCAGGGAGATAACTTCTAACTAGCTGGCTTCCAAGTGTGCGACAGTTATTTATTATGTGTTGGAGGCAGTGTCCTCGGTCTGACATATATTTGGGGGAGACAAGTTGGGGAAAAGCCTTTTTATTTCCCACAATTCCCCCCTTTGAACTACAGGGGTAACATGGTTATTTTCTATACATTGAAAGCTGTCAAGACAAATTTAAAGACTGTTAATGTAGCCAAGCCAAAAATTCAGGCTTATGGTGAACATTTTGAATTCAGGCTTGGGGAGGATAAAGCACCCCTATGCCCATATACTATTGGGGGAAAGTATAGAGGGATTGGATGCCACGACAGGAAGAGATAGAGCAATTAGGAATGTCTGCTTCTACAGGGAGACAGAAGCAACCATGTGCTCATTTTAAGGCAGCAAAGCTTTAAGGGGAGAATTTGTGGAAATGATAGCTAACACAGGAAAATGTACTTGGACCTTATCTCTAATTTACCAAAGTGGTGACTTTGCTACCATGGAATACTAGCTTTCCAGATTCCATACGTACAAGTCAGGGAATAAGTCCCAGTCTTATTTCTCTCAGGGTTGGTTTCCCACATTTCCCCTTCTGTATTATGTTTAAAATTTAATAGAGTAATAGATGCAACATGATTTCTCGTCATATCTCTTAGCTTCCTATAAAAGCAGCATGAGACTGCAAGCATCATAATTATGATGATAAACAGCACAGTCAGATTGGAACTTAAACTATATGAAATACTTTGGACCCAAGCACGCGGGTCCAGCCTCTCTCTATGCCATCTACCAATTGTTTAATCACATCAGACCCAGGGGATGCCTTGAGTATATCTTTGAATATATAGAAAATATCCTTTTTTAGCTGATTAACATCTAACCCTTAAACCCTTGCAAATGTGTTCTAATCAAATCCCAATCATGCAATGTCTTATTATATGGGTAAGGGGTTATACAGAAATCAGTTACATGTTGAGATAGTTTATGGTGCCAGCCTGGCAGATGAACACAAGTGGGATTAACTGAAGGGCAGAGAGATAAATGCCTTGGTGAGTCTCGCCTTTCTTGTCTCTCGCTCTGTGATCATCGGACCAGTGTGCGGTTGCCTTGCTTGTCCTGTGCTTCAATTTAAAAGCTACACTACCTGTGGGACCCCTAGCCTGTGGACTGTGTCGCTGTAAGTTGAGGTCCCTTTAAGACATCGCTGGAGCTGGGGACTGGCAGTTGGTGACCTGGCTGGCAGTTGGTGACCTGCCTTCTGATTGGCTGCTGTGCTGAGATAGCCTAGCTCTCTCTATAAATAGAGGAAGATCTGGCAGCAGATTGGACTGGAAGGACTTCTAGTCTCTCACTTCTCTCTCACGGCAGTGGGTTGAATTGAGCCATTTGTAGTGCTTTATAATTTAACTGTTTCTTTCTTGTATTATATATTTAACTGTATATGATTTAACAGTTCATTCCTTGTTATATATCTACTTATCTTTATAAATAAAAATATTAAATTATCAGCAATTTGGTTTCATCTCTCTAGAGAACCCTGTCTAACACACATGTCAATCACACTTTTGCATTAATTGATGTTTCAAGTCCATGATTTGATCTCCCAACCAGTGGACAATTTGCTGCAGCTCTGCTACTCCCCACCCCCACCCCCACTCCAGTTCACCGTCCACCTTTGCCTGAGTGGCCCAGAGCTGATGTGATTTCACTTGCCATTTTTGCATGAAATGTTCAGTTTTGATGGACTCTTGTAGTGCTCCCCCAGCAATAGTAGCAGTGGTGGCAATTGCTATAAGTCCAATTATAGCTGTGATGACCATTCCCACGAATCAGCGAGGTCTTTTCAGCATCTCCGACATCACTTGCACCACCAAGGATGATTCTGGGCTGCCCTTCCATCTGCACGTCATCTCCACCGGGATCCACACCCCCATCCTGCTCTTTAAATTTGAATATCCTAGGCCATGGTGATTGTGTTTGTGAATCGCCTCAATGGGCGACTGATCTCCCTGCTCATCCTTCTCAGGTCTATTTCCTTTATAGCTCATATTTTAAAAAAATCATTTTATTGGGGGCTCATACAACTCTTATCATAATCCATGCATACATCCATTGTGTCAAGTACATCCCCACATTTATTGCTATCATTCTTCTCAAAACATTTGCTTTCTACTTTTCCCCAGCTTGTCTTCCCCAAATATATGTCAGACCTAGGACACTGCTTGTAACACATAGTAAATAACTGTGGTACACTTGGAAGCAAGCTGGTTAGAAGTTATCTCCCTGAAGGCATCGGGCATCCAGGGCAATCAGACTACTGTCTGGTCCACCGTAGATGGAGCTCACACCCTATGGATAAGGATAGTGATTGTTTCCCTGGATATCCCAGAGAATAATTCTAGCCAGCTCAAGGATGATCAAGGTTAGGCTGCCATCTTGAATATAGGATCTGCCCATCTTGTCACATGTGTGCCCAAATCCCTCCTCTTCCTATTGCATGTACACCCTTAGGTCATCCCTCTCCTATTGCTATATTGCCTATGGTATAACCCTTCCTGTAATGTTTGTGATTAGGGGCTTGCATGCCACTAAGTATATATAAGCCTTGGTCAGAAATAAACTCTCTCTCCTCTCTTCATCTCCCATCTACACGTGGACCACCAAGAGGGGCTGAGGTGAGCATGCTACCATGAAATGTGTCTGACTCCCTTATTTCACTATCTCCTGTTTCTCTTATTCTCTATGACTTTACCATAATCTTTATATAGTATTGCCCTACAATTGCACCTACAGATCTGTGATATTGTCAGGGGCTGGCTACCTTGACAAATGGCACCCACTGCGTGGCAGTAGAAAAAGAACTATTTTGAGTTAGATCCCATGTAACAATTGTACAGACTCATCTGACAGAGAATGGTGAATTGGGAAAAA